TCTCTCTCCCTCTCTCTACCCCCTCTCTCTACCCCTCTCCCCCTCTCTTTCTCCCCCTCCCTCCCTCCCTCTCTCTCTCTCTTTCTCTCCCTCTTTCTCTCCCTCTTTCTCTCTTTTCCTATCCACCAGGTCTACCGATTTGTCTCTGTCAAGAAGGCTCAAACATTCCCCTTGTTCATCCCACGTTTAAACAATATTTAGCCTCCTGACGGTGAAGAGAATCCCCCATGTCGTGGTACAGGCCAGACTACTCGTACAAGTAGGTGAATAGTAAAACATGTTCAGATATTCTTGCATGACTAGCACTGAGTGACGACGTTGGCCTAGTGGTTAGGCTACAGGACCTGTAATCGTGAAATTGCGGGTTCGTAGGTTCGAGCCTTATGTCGGTCCGACGTTGTGTCCTTGGGAAATGCACTTTATACGAATTTTCTATTTGGCTCAATCCTTCCTTTCGGATAAGGACGTTAATCTCGGAGGTCCCGTCATTTAAATACCCTAATAGTGTTGATAGGGGCGTTAAACCTATTTCAATTCACCATTTTATAGCACTGATTTTTTAATAATAAAAAGCCTCTTGACCTGGATGATGATGATGATGATGATGATGATGATGATGATAATGATGATGATAATGATGATGATGATGATGATGATGATAATGATGATGATACTGTTGCACTTGATTATACATCTACCTCCCCCCCTTTTCCAAATTTAATTTGTGCCAGTTCTGCGTGAGCTTTTAACACTATGTGTGACCAATTTTAACGTATCTATACGCTCAGCCAGGACCATGGCAGTAACTAGATAGCTTTTCTTTTTCAGAGCTTCGGCTCTTTCCGATATTGTCCAGATCGCACCAATACGTAACTTGTAGTTTGTAGTGGACGCTTTGTTGCTATGGCGTCATCACTCATTTTTTTCTCAGATACTAAGATACTATATTCCTGAGGAAGCCTTAATGGGCGAAACGTTGAACATCCAGGCCTATACGAACATCTGATTAAACGACACCTACCCTATTCAAGTCTCAAGTATATATTTTTTTCTACTTTAAAACATGATGATGATGATGATGATGATGATGATGATGATGATGATGATGATGATGATGATGATGATGATGATGATGATGATGATGATGATGATGATGATTTA